GGGGGGCATGAGGAAAATGGGGGGCGAGTAAATCCGTGGGGAACGCCCGCCAGCCCCTTTTTCCCCTGTCGTCTCTAATGAGCCGCCTGAAAGATAGTTAGGGAATTTGCTCTTCAAAACCTCTGTTTTTGCAAAGTTGCAAAGAATGCTTTGCAGTTTGCAAAAGGCAAATACTTTTGTAGTATAGATGCCTATATGCACGCAGGCGTTGCAGAGTTCTAATGAGAGTGTTCCTGCGGCCTGATCAGAGCCCCGCTCCTGCCACTACCTTCCCTGCAGTCCTGCCGCTATCGCGTGATTCGTTTTTGTGACTGACACATATCACCGCGCCGTCTGCTCTTGGACGTCTGTTGTGACAAAACCAATTCACCGGATGGCCTCCGGCGCAATCCCTGCCAAACTGTTATGGAACAAATTAAAACGTTTTGAAAAATGTGAATAGGAAGAAACGCATCAATGTTCAACTCCGGCTGGCTGACAAATCGGACTGTATAAAATGAATGTGATCTGAGAAAAAGTGTATACGAACAGTAGTAACTAAAGAAGTTCGGAACCTTTCTCAAGTGTCATGACTGAGAACAGTAAAAACATGATGCTCGTAAGAGGCATTATGGTACGTTGGTGCGTGTTGTCTTAAAGTTCGGAGCCGATGGACTGAATCATATTTTCTACCCGGTTTTCATTCATAAACCCCCCTCCCTTCTAAATCTACTTTATTGAGCAAATAACGTTATATTGGCAGTTATACTGTCGTGATGAGCGAGATTCCAGATTCGCCGTCATCTGGCCGGCGATCGTCGAGGTCGTGCGGGTCGGGCCGCGCGCCCGTCGGACAGGACACGCAGCCTCCGTCCGCTCTCTATAAAAGCGCTCCCCGCGGGGGCCTCTGCCTGCACTCGGTGCGACGCCCGCGTATCCTGCCGGCTCCAGCTCCAGCTCCTCCAGGAACCCACAGTTAGCGACATGCAGCTCTGCTTCACGATCGTGGCCGCGGCCATCGCCACCCTGCTCGCCACGGTGTGTGCGAGCGAGGGCGAGCGAGAGAGCGAGTGAGAAAGAGAGAGAACGAGAGCGAGAGAGAGATGGAGAGACAGCGAGCGAGAACGAGACGCGTCAGGGGTGTTCTTTGCTTTTAAGAAACTGTATATTTGGCGCGCTGAAAATTCAATGAGTGTCAAAATTGACGAGTAAAAATATGTTATGGTATTTTAATTGAGTTACAAATATACCTTGAAGAATGGAGAAAATCAACGGACAGGGAAATGTGAAGAGTTGAGCAGAGCTGCAAGGGTCCGTAACTTACATGTCTGCCTCTACTATAGTCTTTTGGAAATAAGTTAGTTAGCCGACTTGCCAGAATTTTTCTCCACGGAATCCACGATTAACATTGGCCATATTACAAAGTCCATAACTTTAAATCTTGTTTTCGTGTATTTTGTTACGTTTGGCATCTACCAATCGTTCGTGTTATGATAAGTTTCGGAACCCTGCAGCGTTGAGGCAGTTGGAGCGCCTGCGAGTTAGGCAAGAGACGGTCGTGAAGTACACACTTGTCGGGCGCATGGCCTATCCTTCAGTGGACAGGGGCTACAGAGGCTGGCTAGGTCAGCTGACGACAGCGGAGATGGTGCTTTCCTCTTTTGTTTTGCATTTTAAAAGTAGCTCAGATATAATGCGTTCAGCTGTGTGTGAGTCACCAGTCACCCCCATGTGTCTGTCGCAGGCGCGGGCGGATGAGTCAGCGATGCAGGCCGTGATGAAATGCGCTAAAGACGCTGACATTAAACTAGGTGAGTAGGGTATTGAAGGAGTATTTCTGTTACTTCACTTATTCTCTGGAGACTCTTCGTTGGTTTTGCGTTGGTTTGTTCGCTGTCCCCCCTCCCCCCCCCCCGGCGTTTTTGTAGCCTTGGGGGGGGGGCGTAAGTCTTATTATCTTTGATGGGAGAGCAAACAATGGTTGTTAATCGGCAGGAATAATTCAAAGTGTCTAATCGGCCCGATCAGAAACCATCGAGCGCCACTAGGCTGGACTGGACGACAGGCGACGTCCAGCCGTGGAAGAGGGGGTCGGGGCCGGTCAGGGCCATGGGGAGGTTTATAAGGCGCACGTGGGAAGGGGGGATTGAGCATCACTTCAGGACCATCAAATTAACAAAAAAAACATTCTTTTTTTGCAGAGGTGTTGATGAAATCGTGCGACAATGACATGTCGGCGGTCCCCGGCTACAAGGTACGTTGAGCTCTATTGCCCATTAGTAGTAAAATGCCTTGAGAAAATGGCCTGACGGTTAAAAACTTTAATCATGTTGTTTTCCTTGCAGTGTTTCACGAAATGTGTGCAGCAACTTATGGGAATCGTGAGTAGGCTATTATTACCCGTCATGCTAGATACATATATCTGAGTCAATAATGACTTCGAAAACCAAAACCAATACAAAATTACTAAATAAATAAATACTGCCAAAGGTCGGACCAATAGAAATTTGTGAACATTGCAGATGGCCGAGGATGGAAAGTTCAGTCCAGAGGGAGCCACCAAATTCGTCTCTGACGAAGATAGAGAGGTGGCGTTGAAAGTGGCCAACGAGTGTGCCAAGGAAGTTGGGGGTAAGTGGGAAAAGTGTGAAACAGTAGTGTGTACATGGCCAAGTACAAACTTCAGCACACAGCTTTTATTATAGAGCTTCGCGTCTTTCGTGTGTACACGGTCAAGTACACCGCCTTCTGCATACATGAGCATGTACACACTTCCTCCTGAATAAATGATCATGTACACACTACCTCCTGAATACATGTAGGTATTCAGGAGGTACTGCATACATGTACGTACACACTTCAGTTCCCAGAGCATTCGCGAGTCCAAAGTTATTTTAAAGTAATTAATACATTCGTAATATGAAGAGCAGGTTGTAACTCGGTTGTTATAGCACTGTGAAAACAAGTAGGTATGTTTACAGGAAAATTTTCCTTTACGCAAGTTGTAAAATTACAATTTGAAATCGTAAAAATACATGCAGTACGTATCGACTTAAAATCAATTGGCGAGTAAAAAATCTGCTCTCGTAAATTTACAACTCAAATTATAATTCGAGTTTACAAAAATATTGTAAATTTACGACGATATCTTATACAGTGTACAAAACAAACAAAAAATCCCGCACACTAGAACTTTTAAAACGAATTGTTTGACATCCTGATAAATTGACACCATTAAATCGTGATTTTACGTATAGTTTGATGTTATACCACTACGAACGGTTCGTACCCAAAATTGACCAAAAATACTTATTACTTTCGCGAGCGAACTATTCGTGACAGATTATCATCATGGAATGTCGAAACTTATTACACGTGAGGTGACACAATTGTGACTCAATTAATGTCCGTGGCGGTCGCACTCGTGCAGTAAGTACACACAGTGCACGCTACTGCCAACGAGGCTCGAGGTGCCCTGTGTAGCTACCAAAGCCAACTGGCCCAGTGAGAAATATTTGCGACGATGTCGTTTTGAAATCGGTTTTCAGGATGTTACCGATTTACATACGGGCTTAAATCGAAAGTCGACATCGAAACAACATCGTTGGTCGAAAAGCCGTCAATTTCGGGCACACTTTTGTATCGCCAGCGACCTAAATACTGATGTCGAAACGATGCCGTCGCAAATATCTCACTGGGTCGACCTTCCCACATTAAATGTAAAGTCTACGATGAAACATCTCTGTTACAGAAACCGCCGATTTGTGTGAGAGGGCATTCACCGTCAACGTGTGCTCGCAGAAAAAGGACCCCGTGGTACGCTATCGAGTATCGTTTCTTAGGACGACTGCACTCGCATGAACTCATATTGTTGTGGTACGGTAATTATACGAAACGTACAAACAAAATTGCTTTATTTTCAGATCTACAAGAAGTCCTGCCTCGCTCTGATGGCGAAAATGATGTCGTGAAGAAAAGGGAGACTTACATACAACAATAAATAATTTTTACACTAAACATGATTAACTTTCCCCCTTCCCTTACAAAAATGCAATGTAAACTTAGAGTACACTGTAAAACGAAGAGTGACCTTTCTTTCCCGAATAGAGCGACGTATAGGCGTCATCGCTCTGTTAGAGCGAGTTTTGCGAAATGACTTAACATGAGTCTTCTTCGTAACAGAAAATGTCGCAGAAACGACCCTAAACGAGCGACGTTTGCGAAAATGACTCAAAATTAGTCTTATTCGTAACCAAAAATGTCGCGAAAAGTTATTGCAAACGAGCGATGTAATTAATATCGCTCTCCTAAGAGTCGTCAAATTGGCTTCACTGATATCGCTCTCCTGAGAGCGAAAAAGGTCACTCCTTTACTTGTAGTGTACTGACTGAGTGCAATTCTGCAGAATTATTGTGTCCCAACCTTTGAATCAGGAATATTGAGGGCACTGGAAAAGCGGCATCGAAGTTGAGGCGGTTCCTTGCTGTGAACATTGCTGCCAGATTTACTGGACGCACTGGACGAGACTAGCAACAAGGGGAACACCGCCGGAACCTATCCGACGACTGTGTTGTGTTGCTCTGGGGTGTGTAGTGTACACTACAAAGCGAGTGTCGATGAGGGGGCGCACCTAATGATGTCAATAAACTGATGATGATGCTGAACTTGCTGCTTTTATCACTGCCACAAAACCAAATTCCTTACTGCGCGGACTGGGGGGTTTAGGGGGCCTGCATGAGGTTCCCTGCATTCCCGCCAATGAGCCAATTGCATTAAAAACATAACTACAATAAGAATTTCGAGCGGTATGATTTAAATTTGAGAGGGTGTGCGGCCAAAAGAGATAAAATAAACCCACCCCTTCACTGTTATTCAAATACTGTGACGTCACACTCTATATGATGTGAATTGTGTCACATTATTTTTATAATATCATGTCACATTCTTTATAATGTGTCAGAGGTATGCCCATTATGCACTGAGCCCGTCAGAGCAGAGCGGTGTAGGGGTTTGTCACGTTCTAAAGAATGTGACATGATATTATAAATAATGTGACACAATTCACATCTTATAGAATGTGACTCACAGTAATTGAATATCAGTATCGTTCCGATCAGAACGTATAACATATATTACTACAGAGAGACCGACCGACTTAATCTGCACGAATACAGTTCATCTGATATGAATCTCGACACGAGATTTAAAAAAAAAATACATTCCATACTTTAAAAGTGCCTACAATAATCAGGAAAAATACACTCCAGTTTATTTAAGTTATTGTCAGTTTTAAATCGGTCAGAAACTGCAAAACTAAAGTACTATACAGAATTATAAATAATTAGACCTTACAAATTAACTTGTTATATCATAGACATTTAATCACAAACTTTCCTCTGTACCCATTGTTTCCGACGGACGCTAAACCATGCAAACGTCAAAACTCTATAAAAACAACCTCCCAGTTTTTAAGCAAGTCTTGGAAAAACAAATACATTTCAATGTATTTCTTCCATTTTAAGAAATGCTTTACTGCTTTAAGACCAAGATTTCGTTTTATAACCGTGAGTATACCCAGCGAGCCACCAATCGAAATTACGTCAAATTGACGTGAAGTGTGAAGAAGACAAAATTTCGTCAAAACAGACATTTTTGCATCAAAATTTCGTTTGTGACGAAAGGTTGCGCGCTATTGCGGTCAATTTTGGAGTCAACTAATGAAAGCGTGCGCGCCCACCATGTAGTTTATGGTGGGCGGTGACCCATGTTATACGGCGCGGCGCGGGAACAACGGATGCTGACGTGAAATAAGAGCCGCGCACGCCACGCACGCAGCCGGGCCGCGCGGACTGTCGCGTGCATTAGCGCCCGCCGCTGCGCTCTTCGAGGCAGTCGGACATGTCGGCATGCTCTGCGCGCACCAGCGCCGGGGCGTCGGGCGGCTCTACCTCTCCCTCCTGACGCTCGCCTCCGCGACCGTCTTCATGGGGGCGGCGGGCAGGCGCGTCAATTCCTTTGCGGTGCGTCGACCAGAGGGTTTGCATATATCCCCGAGGCCGTGCAGGTGACCCTTCCCGCGCCGGGCAAGCAGCCTCAGGGCGGGCCGCCGGCTCCACTCGGCCGCCTGGCGGGTTGGCCTACCCAGTGCGTTGCAGGCGCCTCTCGGGGGCTGGCCAGCCCAACCGGCCGCTCCGCTCCGCCCCCCCCCC